GTGTGTGTGTGTGTGTGTGTGTGTGTGTGTGTGTGTGTGTGTGTTGCAGGACAGCATCCGTGTCCATCTGAAGGGGGCGGGTCCCATCGTGGTGCTGACCTGTGACGTCACTGGGGGAAACAACGTCCGCTTCGTAACGCTGGAGGAAAGTCGGGTGACGACGACCTCGCTGCTCAAAGGTAAAAAAAACTCAACACGACAAAATTAGATGGTTTTAGGCTGAAAACTGAAAGTTTACATGAAATATTTTAACAGAAGTTTTTCTTTTTTTTGTACAAAAGTTTCAATATTTTCAGTTTTCTCACCTGATCCCGCTGAGGTGATTCCTGGGAGTCGTAGTTAACTTTGACATCTCTAATCAAAAGTTCCAGATATTTTCTGAGACTGGAAAAACAATGAACGAGCACGAAACAGCTCCTCCCACTCTGCAGCTCTACAGGAAAAATCATTTCAAGAAAACAAAACAGTTTTGAGTGAGGAAAAATTTTTACAAAATGAAAAACTTTTGAAAAGTTTGAGTCAAAGATTCAAGTTGTTTTTTGGATTTTTTTTAGGTGCAGGTGTTAAAAAAATCTTTAACCAGAGCATCACTAACAAACAAAACCTTTAACTTACCTCAAACATCTTGTTTTGTTGTTGCAGAGTCATTGAATTCACAGAGCCCCGTGCAGAAAGTCACCAGCTGACCACCAGGAGGCACCGGTTGTCCTTGTGGTTCTGTCAAGTCTGGAAAACAGAAGCTGTGAATGTGTGCAGGTTCCAGCTGGACCCGTGTTCCTCCAACAGACGCTGACGAACATTGGAGTCACACGTGGTGTCAACGTGGAGCCAGAGGACATTTAGACATTTGACGTTAATTATTTTTGTGAACGTCTGAAACTCCTCATGTTCCTGCTCGATGTTCTACAGATATTAATGTTTATGAGATGCAGTAATAAGCTGTCATGTAATATTCTATCATACTTTGAATCACTGACATTTACTGGAAAATACTTCTACACTTTATATTTCGTTTGTTTTGGATCTGAAATGTTTTCTCAAACATAAAATCAGTGAAATGAACCTTTAGGATATTTAGTTTTAGTTCTTAAAACGTCTCAATGAACCAGGTCTTCAAAACTTTAAGTTAATAATTATGTCAACGTTCATTTGATGATTCTTCTGTCGCACTTTAAAATGAGCTTTATATTTTTAAGGGAAATGTTACGGCATCATGTAGAGTTTGTAATGTCTCATTCTCTGTGATATAATAAAACCACAACGTGGACCTGATCGTCTACTGTCGCAGTTCTTCTCTGTGTTTTCTGAAATAACATGTAATGTTTTTACAAAGCGTTTCTCACTTAGAGATAAATTGTTAAAATCTACAAACTGAATTTGTAAAACATGAAGGAGCTGATCGCTTTACCGCAGCATCACCCAGTGGACAGACTGCTTCACCGCATCATAATGAACAACAGGGCTCACACAACAAGTGGTCTGATAAACTCTCACAGTTCCCCGCAGGTTAAATCAGATTCTTACAGACGAATCAACGTTTCCATCTTTAGAGAAATAATAAAGGACAGAAGAGTCTTTTTGTCTTTGTGTGTCTGAACACTGAGCGACTCTGTTCTGTTTCCAGGCAGCTCGTCAACCACCCACACACATAAAGTTCTTTATGAATGGGTTAAAATAACACTGCTGAGCAAAACAGCCCCTCCCTAAAATCATGTCATTACAGAAAAACACCAGAGAAACCTGCTCGTTCTGTAGGTACTCACAGTACACTTTACAGTGTTTTTATTCAGTGAGTTCATGAGGTTTGGTGACGGGGAGTTTCTGACATTTGAAAACATGATGGGACACACTCGAGCAAATCAAGTCTGTGTTTCTTATTCTGTCAACTGTTAAAATGTTTTGTGCTGAATTAAAAATATAAAAGTCATCAAATGGTTACGCATAAAAATATCATAAAAGTCATGGAATAGTAAGTCAAAAACACTGTAAAAGTCATCAAATAGTAACTGAAAAATATCATAAAAGCCATCAAAGAGTAAGTCAAAAATATAAAAGTCATCAAAGAGTAAGTCAAAAACATCATAGAAGTCATCAAATAGTAACTGAAAAATATAAAAGTCATCAAAAAGTAACTGAAAAATGTCATGAAAGTCATCAAATAGTCAGTCAAAAATATAAAAGTCATCAAATAGTCAGTCAAAAATATAAAAGTCATCAAAGAGTAAGTCAAAAACATAAAAGTCATCAAATAGTCAGTCAAAAACATCATAAAAGTCATCAAATAGTCAGTCAAAAACATCAAATAGTAACTGAAAAACATCATGAAAGTCATCAAAGAGTAACTGAAAAATATCATAAAAGTCATCAAATAGTAACTGAAAAACATCATAAAAGTCATCAGAGAGTCAGTCAAAAAGATAAAAGTCATCAAAGGGTAACTGAAAAATATCATAAAAGTCATCAAGGAGTAAGTCAAAAACATCAAGAATAAGTCAAAAACATCATAAAAGTCATCAAATAGTAAGTAAAAAAAAATCATCAAATAGTAAGTCAAAAACATCATAAAAGTCATCAAAGAGTAAGTCAAAAACATCATAAAAGTCATCAAAGAGTAAGTAAAAAAAATTCATCAAATAGTAAGTCAAAAACATCATAAAAGTCATCAAAGAGTAAGTCAAAAACATCATAAAAGTCATCAAAGAGTAAGTCAAAAACATCAAATAGTAA